GCAGTGCGCAAAATCAAGTATATATACGTGATATTGCATCTCCAGGTAGGGGGTGTGCGCAAAGAATGCACTCGCCCTACCAGTGCCACCATATGCAGCCGCGGCTCTCAATCACCGGGTCCTGGACAGTGATTACTTGTCGATGCCCGGTGATAGCCGAGGACCTCCAATGGGGGGGGGGAGAACTGCTAGTAAACGAAAGAGTTCTCCTCCCCCTGCACAGCACAGCCATGCAAAGCAGTGTGTTTTACAGTGAAGCACAAACACAGAACATCAAGTAAAATGGCACACAGCACACAGTTAACCCTTTGATTACCCCAGACGTTAACCCCTTCATGCCCAGTGCCATTAGTACAGTATCAGTGCTTTTTATTAGTACTGATCACTGTATTGGTGTCACTAGAGATGTCAGTGACAACAAGCCAGTTCCCCTTAGTGTCTAAATGACCACCACAGTCCTGTAGTCCCACTATAAGTCACTGATCACCACCATTACTAGTAAAAAAAAAAATCCAGTATCTATACCGCCATTTGTAAACATTATAACTTTCACGTAAACCAATTAATTTACATGTATTTGTACATGTATTTTTTAGCAAAGACGTAGCAGAATACATTTTGGTCTATTCATGATGAAATTTGATTTTTTTTATTTTTTTACTGGACACGTTTAATAGCAAAAAGTCAAAAATATAGTTTTTTTCCTCAAAATTGTCAGCCTTCATTTTTTGTAGCACAAAAAATAAAAAACACACAGGCAATCAAACACCACCAAAAGAAAGCTCTGTTCATGGGGGAAAAAAAAGCACATGAATTTCATTTGGGTGAAGCGTTGCATGACCATGCAATTGTCAGTTAAATTAATGCAGCGCCATAACGCAAACAAAATGGCCTGGTCAGGAAAGGGGGGGGGGGGGGGGGGGTAAATCCTCTGGAGGGCAAGTGGTTAAAGAGGAACTGTTGGAAATCTAAAATCTGAAATTGTTTAGTGGAATTAGCCACAGCAATAAAAGTTTACAGTGATTGTAATTCTCTGCATTAAGGTAAAGCAGCTTTTTACATGCAGCTCCCCTCGCCCCCACCCCCCACACACACACCCGCAAGAGTTCTTCTCCCCTCTCGCCATTCTCCCAAGCTTGGCTGAGAGCCATTCGCTCCTGCTGCTGTCAGTCAAAAAACCTGTAAGCAAAGAGAGGGGGGCAGGACTGAGCAAAGCGGCTTCCTATGGTAGGCACTCAGCGGAAAGGGAGGAGCCAGGAGTGCCAGCGGGGGACCTGAAAAGAGGAGGATCAGGGTTGCTCTGTGCAAAAAAAAATATTGCACAGGGTAAGTATAACATGTTTGTTATTTTAATGAGAGAGAAAAATTGCTTTGGTATGACTTTAAGGGGTTACAATTTCAGTAGCTAATTCATTTAAAAAATAGCTGGGAAAAGAAGTAGAATGTGAGGACTGAAAATATTGAGTTAATGGTACTGCTACAGTGTAGGAGAGCTGGACCCTGGAACGGACAGCTAGGGGCTACGTGTAATCAACATATTACATGTCATTTCTAGAGATAATTCCTGGACCTCTCCTTTAAAGTACACAATTTTATAACACATCCTTATAACATCCAATACTAAGCTGAGATCTTCAATGTCAAATACAAAACTAACAATACAAAAATATGGCAAGAAACAACAACTTGCTTCCGAATATATTCTGATGTGATGAAGTATACCGATTGGCCCAACAACCATCACAATGCAAGTGAACTTGCTATTTCATTTTTAAGTAAAACCTTTCTGATTTATTACATACTTTATTTTAGACCCAGTGATTTCAGCACAGGGTCTCTGTGTTTATCTATACAATGAAGGATTATCATGGCTGGTGGGGGGCTGTGCATAAATTCCTTAATCGTGAGCCTCCACGTTAAAAAAGAACATAAATCCAATGAATGAAAGAGGAAGGACAGGCACAGCTAGGTTGCAGGGAAAAGGGCTAAATGTTGCTGTACATTCTATAGCCTGGAAATAAGGCACGTTCTATCTGACTTTGTGCAACTTTGAGAGGCTCACAGTGTGCAGACAAATCAGAGTATACAATTTCATGACATGGCAGAAGCCTGTACAACTCTGTAAGACTGAAGGAAGGGAGGGAGCTCAGCTTTACCTAATTCAGAAACTCTTTTTGCTCACTGCCATCTTTTGAAATCGCAAATTGTGGAAAATATCACGACTTCAGATGAAATCTGATTAGGGAAAGTGTGACTGTTTATGTAATAAATATTCTGCATTTTAATGTGCAATCGGAAACGTATACATTTGCAAAATTGTACAACTGATCAGGCTTTTTGTCCCATTTGTCAGTATCCTTGAATACAAATGTAGGAATCCAGTACAAGATATTATATCCAGTACAAGATATTACGGAGAACACACAAGATTCAACTCGTTGCTGCTCCTGAGCCTAGTCATGCACCTGTTTCTACAGACACCCACAAATTAGCACAGCGACATGCTGCTGATTGCAGGTACAGCAAATACTTCCATAATATCACTGACAGCTTAAACTGGCATGAGCAGGACAGAAAATAAAGCAGTAACCATAATAATTGGGGGGGATAGAATATTCTAACATATTTCTTATGTAAAGGTTAGAACTCCTCCAAAACATATTTGGGTGGAGGGGACAGCTGCTGTGTTAATATGGCTCATCTCTGGGTTTTCATGCAGCAATCTGTTTCTTAACTTTCCAATCGAAGCATCAACGGAAAAGCAGCTCAAAGCAGATTAAACATGCAGGCAAATTGCAGGGATCACTGGAAGGAGTGGGCTGACATTCAGGTATTAGCCTTTTGCCCTCCTTTCCACCCCCCTTCCCACACACCACCAAAGAACAACCCAAAATAAATTCTTCTACACTTAACGGTCAGAGTGATATCACATATGTCTGTGTATGATATTTGTTGTCTGTACCCGTAGTGGGGCCCAGAAACAATATGCGCATTTTGTGTTTTTTTAACCCCTTGGCACCTGCGCCTTCCGGCCCTTTAAGGGTTCCAGAAGCCGGGAGGCGGACAGGGTTTTAGGGTCATGTGACTGGCATGATTTGCTGTCACAGCGGTCACATGATCGGGAAAGGTCCCAATCGAAAGAGGAGATCGGGACCTTTCCGTGAGCACCGAACGTGTGGGCAGGATGCCCGCTCTCAGCACATATGTTTTTTTTTTTAATAGAATGCAAATATGCGGCCGCTCAGCATCTAGGCCCAGACCCTGGGAGGCCGCACATTTGCATTTGGCTGGTGCCAAGAGGTTAAGCTACTTAAAACACACTGACACTGAATTAAGAAAAAAAACATTTTTTTAATAATACCTAAAATACAGTGACCCTAATCTATGACGCTAAACTTTGACCCTGATATTTGACTCTCACAATGACCTTTGATGCTAACCTTGACCCTAACCAGAACCCTGATCTAGATAAAATCCTGATCTAGCTTTTTTTTATTTTTTTAGTTATTTATTTCACACACTTTATCTACACTTTTCTCCTCTAGCAAGAATACAAAGTATCTTTTTCTCCATTCAAGTGGAGAAAAACACTACAGGGGTGGGCTGAACAGTGACTGATCACTGTGATAGCCAATCATAGGCTATCACAGCAATCAAGACCTAGGGCTCTTGATGAGATCTGTGCACTGTTTTGTTTGTTTTTTGTACCTTTTAGGATAAAGATTTTAGCTAATTGAATAAAAGCTAATCATTTTAAGCACACCTGTGAGGGTTAAATGGTTCATTCTAATTCTCTGACTTCCACTTTTGCTGCAAAACTTAATCTGTTAAAGGAAGTTGATAAAAAACAGCAGGATCAACAGGTAAAATACACTTACTGGCCACTTTATTAGGTACACCTTGCTAGTACTGGGTTGCACCCCCTTTTGACTTCAGAAATGCCTGAATTCTTCATGGCATAGATTCAACAAGGTATTGGAAACATTCCTCAGAGATTATGGTTCATATTGACATGATAGTATGTTTTTCTATCATCTTGAACCAGTCTGCCCATTCTCCTCTGACCTCTGACATCAACAAGGCATTTTTGTCCGTCCACACAGCTGTTCACTGGATATTTTCTCTTTTTCGTACCATTCTCTGTAAACCCTAGAGATGTTTGTGAATGAAAATCCCAGTAGATCAGCAGTTTTTTTAAATACTCAGACCAGTCCATCTGGCATCAACAACCATGCCATGTTCAAAGTCACTTAAATCACCTTTCTTCCTCATTCTTATGCTCAGTTTGAACTTCAGCAAGTTGTCTTCACATCTAGATGCCTAAATGCTGCCATGTGATTGGCTGATTAGCAATTTGTGTTACCAAGCAATTGAACAGGTGTACCTAATAAAGTGGCCGGTGAGTGTACATTTGGTTACGGGGGCACTGATAATGCTAATGACAGACGGCATCATATATGTCATCATTTTGCCTTTAGTACCCCTTTAACCACAAGCCTACAGGGCACTTATACCCCCTTCCTGCCCAGGCCAATTTCCAGCTTTCAGCGCTGTTGAACTTTGAATGACAATTGCGTGGTCATGCAACACTGTACCCATATAACATTTTTATCATTTTTTTGTGACAGATAGAGCTTTATTTTGGTGGTATTTAATCAACTCTGGGTTTTTTATTTTTTCTTAAACAAACTAAAAACCACTGAAAATTTTGAAAAAAAAAACGTTTTTTCTTAGTTTTTGTTATAAAATTTTTCTCCTTCACTGATGTGCGCTAATGAGGCTGCAGTGATGGGCACTGATAGGTGGCAATGATGGGCACTGATGAGGAGGCACTGGTAGGTGGCACTGATGGGCATTGACAGGCATCACGGATGGCCACTGAAAGGCAGCACTGATATATGGCACTGATAGGTGGCACTGATAGGCAGCACACTGACTGGCACTGATAGGCAGCACTGACTGGCACTGTTAGGTGGCACTGACTGGCACTGTTAGGCGGCACTGACTGGCACTGATAGGGGGCACTGACGGGCACTGATAGGTGGCACTGATTGGCAGCACTGAAAGGTGGCACTGATTGGCATTGATAGGTGGCACTGACCGGCACTGATGGGTGACATTGAAAGGCAGCTCAGACGGGCACTGATATGTGGCATTGATGTGGCACTGATGGGCACTGGCACGTGGCACTGATGAGCACTGACAGCTGGCACTGATGGACACTGACAGGTGGCACTGCTGTGGCTACACTGATCATCAGGGCACACTGATCATCAGTGTCCTGATGATCAGTGTAGATGTCCCCTCCGAGGGATGCCGATTACCGGCTCTCCTCTCCTCCTCTTGAGCTGTCAGCGTGACAGCTCGAGAGGAGAGAAATGCCGATAACCGGCATTTCCCTGTTTACATGTGATCAGCTGTGATTGGACACAGCTGATCACATGACCGAGCCGACATCTTCGGCTCTTTCTGTGGATCGGTGATCCGCTGTGTCCGAGGGACACAGCGCACCATCGATCGCCGTGCTGCGCGTTCCAGGAGCCACGCATGCGCGGTTAGAATGGGAGGATGTCATATGAAGTCCTCCCAGAATGAGAGAACCACCTTGCATCCGTCATATTACTATATGGCAGGAGGTGGTTAAGAATGCAGCAGAAGAATAGATTTATGAGAAGAAATAGACAACTCATAATAAACATTATTGGATAAAACTCTGTCAATTTAGTTATTGCTCCAAGACACTGTACATTTTCAAAGGTTTTGTCGTTTTAACTAAGTATTAATGTAGGGGTTTTTTTTTTTTTTTCCTGTGCTGTTGCTTGTCTTACCTTTTATGGTCTCACATGTTGTGGTTGCAGTTTGTAGTGTCATGGCTGATTGATTTTCCTGTGTCCATGTATTCATTCACCTAGCTTGCTATTCACTAAAGGGATATGCAACTTCTTGTTCTGCGTCACGCAACATCCAAACCATACATCACAATTTCCTCTGTGTTGCATCACAAATGTGGGAGTGCTGATGTGATGAAAACACATCTCTTCCATTCATTGTTCGGCCTGCTTGTGTTTATGTCATATCTAAACAGGGCTGTCTTAATGCATGGGCATCCCTGTGCACTGCCCAGGGGCCACAGGTGCATGGGGGCCCCAGGATAGTCTTCCTTTACATTATACCTGCCAATTGTCCAGAATTTGGTGGGACAGTCACACTTTTTACTAAGTTGTCCCAGGATGGATCGGGCAGTGTCCCAGAACCTGGACTGTGCCCTCCTGATCCCAAAATTGTGCCCTCCTGACTCCCACTGTACTGAGTCCTTTCAACCCCCCGTACTGTTCCCTTTGTGTTGATTAGTCTTCCATTTATGTCATGTCAAAAATGTATTTTATTGAAAGTACTAATAAATATAACTAAGCAGCATCACTGCTGTGATTAAGGCTGTTTGCCGAAGTGCGTCAATGTGCTTTTATGGAACTCCTGTATTAAAAAAATAAATAAATAAAGAGAAGAGACCCCCTATAGGACTTGGGACTTTGAAGGCATAAATACAGTATATACAGAAAAAAGTTTTATAAAAAGTAAAAGCTTTTTATTGTGTCAAAAAATTATTTTAACATGTAGACATACCATACAATACATCATCCAAAGTCACAGTACAGCATCAACATCAAAGTATAAATTGTACCTGGACTGTGCTCTCCTGATCCCAAAATTGTGCCCTCCTGACTCTCCCTGTACTGTGCCCTTTTCACCCCTCCCCCCTGTATTGTGCCCTTTGTGTTGATTAGTCTTTGATTTATGTCATATCAAAAACCCTTTTTTTTTTTTAAGTACTAATAAATATAACTAAACAGCATCACTGCTGTGAGTAAGGCTGTTTGCCGAAATGCATCAACGTGCTTTTATGTCACTCCTGTATTACCAATACAATCTTCATAAGGATTTTGGAGTTGCCAGCTCTTCCTATCTTTACATATTGTATCCAGTGTTGGGAGGACACTTCTGAGCCTCAGCACCTGTGTTTGGATTCCATTGTTTAATTCAAGGTATGTTCCCTGTTTTGAGCACTGCTTTTTTGTTGTTGTATTTTCTAGGACCTCTGTGCTGCTGCGCAATTGTACTTTAATTGCACTTCCTTGGTAAGCCATGACTTTGCTATCTCAGCAATCAAGCCACAGCATAGCTAACTATTATTTCCCTTAATAACTACAAAACCTGATCTGTTAAGGTCACGGTGCTGTTACATAACTACACATAAAAATGTAATTTGGTCTGCCAATTCTTATTGATGTGTGTCAGATGATTATTAATTCATTATATTTACCCTAGTGAAGATGTCCTTTGGGCCATTACACAGTTAGGAACAAACTGATGCACGATTCATCTGCTGTATCTATGTAATATTCATCTACTTTGAACTGTGGAAATAACTCCCTGGAGCTTTAATAAATGTAGGACATTCCTGCCAATTACCATAACATCTATGTGGAGACGATTGCTCGTACTTCCTCACAAAATAAAAATGATTTACCAATACATAGATTTCAGCAATTCCGGTTTATATGAATTATTTCATGCAAGAAACCTTCCGTGGCAGCTTCAGTTGCATTAGATATGAAACTCCCCTTATTCAAAACTATGCATGTTAAGTCTAACTGTGTAATCATTTACCCAACAGGCTTGAATTAAAAGAGAGTTCATATGTAAATTTTGGAAAGACTTATGTAAAGTTTCCAGACTCATACAGAACTTTTGATATGTAATGTCACTGTGCATGTTTAACATAATGCCAAGAGCACTGATGTACATTAATCTATAGCAATCAAACTCAAATCAGCTTTCATTAGCCTTCTCTGCAGGATGCAGTTTTCTCAAACTTTAGTTAGTCATGTACCAACAGCCCGATCTAAGGAACACCTGTAATCGCGCTATTCCTAATGTGAAGTAGAGTTAAAGTTTTACTAAACCCACAACAGTAAAATCAGTCTGTATATGCAGTAAAGCATGCTTGTTATACTCACTGTGGAACCTAAGGGGTTGATCCTCTGCATTGTGTAAAAAGGCTGTTTGATCCTTTCTTCTCTGCCCCTCCTCTTGTTGAAATGACCACCTGATACAAACTGAACCCCTGGTCACATGCACATGCTCAGTTTGGTGAGTATTGCTAGAGAGGTTTTTTTTTTTCTTGGGAGAGTGCATGTGATCAGAACTGTCCAGACAGAGGATCAGAGGTTTCACATCCTCCTAGAGAAGAAAGAGAACTCCTCCTAAAATCTTTAACCAGTGCTCTGCTGAAGTCACAAGACTGCTCTAACTGCTGATGAGAAAAGGTATTTAGCAGTTTATATTTACTAAAATTATTGCATGTCCATGTTCTGTATACTGTGGGAGAACAGATATAGTGAATGCAGGTTCCTGGGTTAGGTATCACTTTAAGCTGGCTATACAAGGATCGAACGTCAGCTAGTTCAGCAGGGAATTTCAATCCATGTACAGTTAGACTGGTTGTACACAAGTTAATCTAATGGTCAACATGTGTACAACCAGCCTGTCAGGTTTTTCCTGAACAATTAATGCCACTGGCTATAGCCAGCAGCACTGATCCCTGTATTCTGATGACGAGGAATAATGTATATAATGTATGCTGCCTTAGGGTACTATGTGAACCACTCATTTATACCATGGTCAGTAGTGTATTTAGATTTTGTGCTGCCCTAGGCAACACAAAAATGTTGCCCCCCTCCCCAATGAGAGAGCGAGAGAGTTCAATAAGTGTGTGTATGTATATATGATTCTCTCTCTCTCTCTCTTGTTCCTCTCTCTCTCCCCCCCTCTCCTCTCTCTCTTCCCCCCTCTCCCCCTCTCTTTTCCCCTCTCTCTTTCTTCCCTCTCTCTCTGTTCCATCTCTCTCCCCCCCCCCCCTCTCTTTCTTCTCTCTCCCTCTTCCCTCTCCCTCTTGCCTCTCTCTCCCCCTCACTCTTCCTCTCTCCCTCTCTCTCCCCCCTCTCTCCTCTTCCTCTCTCTCTCTCTTCCCCCTCTCTCCTCTTCCTCTCTCTCTCTTCTTCTCCCCCCCTCTCTCTCTTTCTCCCTCTCTCTCTTCCCTCTCCCCCCTCTCTCTTTCTCCCCCTCTCTCCCCCCCCCCTCTCTCTCTCTCTTCCCTCTCCCTCTCTCGCTTTCTCTCTCTCTCTCTCTCTCCCTCTCTCTCTCTCTCTCTCTCTCTCCCATCTCTCCCCTCTCCCCCCTCTCTCCCCCTCTCTCCCCCCTCTCTTTCTTCACCCTCTCTCTCTGTTCCCTCCCACCCCCTCTTTCTTCCCTCTCCCTCTTCCCTCTCTCTCTCCCCCCACTCTTCCTTATCTCCTTCTCTCTCCCCCCCTCTCTGCTCTTCCTCTCTCTCTCTCTCTCTCTCTCTCTCTCTCTTCTTCCCCCTCTCTACTCTTCCTCTCTCTTCTTCTTCCCCCTCTCCTCCTCTTCCTCTCTCTCTTTCTTCTTCCCCCCCCCTCTCTCTCTCTCTTTCTCCCTCTCTCTCTCCCCCTCTCTCTTTCTCCCCCTCTCCCCCCCTATATCTCCCTCTCTATTCCCTTTCTCTCTCTCTCTCTTCCTTCTCTCTCTTCCTTCTCTCTCTCCCTTTCTCCCCCCTCTCTCTCTCTTTTCTCTCTCTCTCTTCTCTCTCTCTTTCTCCCTCTCTCTCCCTCTTCCCTTTCTTTCTCTTCCCTCTCTCACCACCCCTCTCTCCCCCCCTGTCCCCTGGTCCTGGCTTGTCAGCTGCTAGAGGGAGATGTACATGACCTTTGCTCTGTAACTGCCCTCCCCCATGCCCCACCACATCGATCTTCATGTTGTCTGTTGCTGCTTAAAAGGTCTCTTCTTCCGGGGGTGGTGCTGCCCCCCTAAAAATTGCCACCCTAGGCAAATGCCTTGTTTACCTTGCGGTAGATATGACCCTGACCATGGTACCTTAATATTTCCATGTTGCAGTTCCCCCCTGGTAATTTGATATGAATCCCTTTTCTTTTCCATGCATATTTCCCCTTTATGGAATCAATTATCTAATCAAGGCATTAGATATATATTATTAGATATTATTATATCTCCAAAATATAACTTATTTTGTAGGATCTGATTCATTAGCACATTTAAATACTTGTGCAATATTTTTGTCAAGATTTATGTGCACTCCTAGCCACCTCTAAGCATTCTAGCTCTTCTACATTTTTCATAATATAGGTACAGTATAATAACATACAAATCTGAAAGAGGGAGTAAGATTTCTCTGTATTGAATACCAGAGATCTGAGAGGTATTAAAAAAAAAATATGAAATCATTTAACTCTCAAACATGTACTAAAAAGCAAATATCTCCCTCTTTTTGTTACAACATCTTTATAATATACCTAATTATTAGTAATAATTATTTTTAGCTATTTCATGACAAGCAATGAGTTCATGCTTATTTAAGGTCTGCATTTAAAAACTAGGTCATTTTATTGTACTATTTTAAGTAATTCA